CTGCACACGCGCCTCCCCCAGGAGGGGCTGGGATGTCTCTGCAGTGGCAGGGGTAACTCGACGTCGAGCTATTCACAAGCACACAGGCACAGGAACGATCCCGCAGGGGGAGAATCCCCTCCCCCCACTGGGCGGTTTCTGCCCTTGGTTTACAGCCCTACCGTCAATGAGGGCCTGCGTCGCTTCATCGTAAGGGGGCAGCTTCTCCACATCCTCCTCCACCTTGTCGGACGGCTGCTTGGGCGGGGGGACCTGCAGGGCAACAGGGGCCACGGGATTGGGAAGCTGGCATGCAAGGGCGGTGCCAGGGGCGGAGAGGGGTGCAGGGAGCCATGCCGGGAACACGGGACCCTCTAGTTCGAGGCAATGGGCCAGCGGAACTCACCGCCACATGAGGGCACGGCGCGCAGCAGGGCGATATGGGGGGCTGGGTGTTCAGCTGGAGGATGAGACTCTCCAGAAAAAGAATGACCAAGGGCTCGGGAAGATGAGGGGCAGGGGCTGATCTCCGACGGGTGGGAGGAGACTGTCTCTGGGGCCTAGTCACCTCCCCACTCCTTCCACGGCCGGCCCAGGCTCCCTGGAGACGGGATACCGGGCTAGATGGGCCTGCCCCGATCCAGCGAGCCCAGTGCTCTTGTGGGGTTATTTGGCTCTAGGGGCTCACTTGCCCCTGCCCTTTGGGACAGGCCCGGGGCAGACACTGCCTCCTCGTACCCCTGCTGGGAGTTCCTGCAGGCAAGGGAGGAGGAGAAAGCAGCAGCCGGGATTACCCTGAGTGACGGGGCAGGAGGGCTGGTTCGCTGCAAGGACCTGGGTGTCCTGCCTCAGCCAGCTGGGCCCGGGCACAGCCCCACCCGATACCTTTGGCTCCTCTTCATTGCTCTCGTCGTCGTCGGCCTCGTCCTCTTCCTCCTCGTCGTAGTCGTCCTCCGGGGCCGGCTGCTCTGGGGGCAGGTCTGGCTGGGGCTCCGGGGCCTCTTCTGCTGGGGCCTCAGGCAGGGGAGCGGCGTCGGGCAGGCCCTGGAAGCACCAAGCAACCCAGAGCCAAGCAGGGCCCCAGAGGGGAAGGGCTGGCCAGGGCAGGCAGTAGTGGGCCTGGGCTCTTTCTGTCCCCAGCTTGGGGTCAGTCTATAGGGCCACCACCCCTTCGTGCCTCAGTTTCCCCATTTACGACAGCCGCGGCTGCAGAGTGCCGCTTTCAGTGCCGTCTCACAGCAGAGCCCCTCCACCCTCCGACCCTGCAGCACTGAACAACAGACCAGCTACAAATGGTTCTGTTAGCCATTTGTGTAGGCCCTACGCAAACAGAGGTGCACACGTGCAGCCCAGTGGCGCTCGAAGAGGGCAGCGCCGGGTCTGGGTCAGCTCCATAGTGCTGGAGCTTCTGATTGCAGGGGGCTTCTGATTGCAGTAGGGAATGCTACCACCACTCAGCCCTTCTCCAAGCAGGGGAGCGCGGCCTAGTGGCTAAAGCACTGGGGCACAGGCGGCTTGGATTCCAGGCTGTGCTGCTGAGCATCCCTTGGAAGAGCCACTTCCCACCTCCGTGCCTCAGTTTCCCCACCCACACAATGGGCACAAGGATCCTCAGTTACTTTACGAAGCACTTTGAGCACCACTGATGAAAAGCATGAGTCACGAGCTAGGGAAACTGAGGCACCAATGGGGGATGCGACTCCCCACCAGAGGGCGCACTCACCTATCACCCCACCACGCTGCCGACTGCCAGAGGGCCTCGCATCCAGTCACTGGGGACACCGGCCACACCACATGCCCGCAAACGGCACAGCAGCGCCGTTAAAAGCTAGGGAAACTGAGGCACGGAGCCCACCCAGCTGGCCAGCAGCAGAGCCAGGAGCAAAACCCGGATCTCAGTCCATGCTCTATCCCCTGGGCCACGCTGCCAGGAGCTGGCCCTGTCATTCCAAAGAGAGACGGAGGCAGAGGCCCCCTCGGCAGAGGGCCGGCCCAGAGCACTGACCTCGGGCTTGTAGTTCTCCTTGATTGCAGTCCACACAGAATCCTGGAAGCTGGAGGCATCGGCCTGCAGGGCGTTTCCCAGAAGGGTCTGGAAGAGAAGCATTGCGGCTTGAGAGCAGCAGGGCCTGTGGGACTCTCTGCCACTGGATGTGGGGGAGCCCAAGAGGAAGGTTGAGAGACTATGCAGGGCCCGGTTCCCACCCAGGAGCCAGTCTCCAGCTGGCAGGACAGGCAGCGCCTCCCCCGCCTGCCAGAGAGGGCTAGTCCGGCCTCCTCTCCTGCAGGCATTCTCCTAGCTTCCTCTGCAGCAGCTGGGCAGAGATGGGCTAGCAAAGAGCCAGGCTGGGCTAGTGATCAAAGCCCCCCGCAGGGACTGTCTGGGATTGGCTCTGGCACTGCCTCCCTGGCCAGCTTCGGGCAAGTCGCCGGATCTCTGAGTCAGCAGGACGCCCTTGTAGCCAAGGCTAACGGCATATTGGGGCGTGTTAGGAGGAGCACTGCCAGCAGATCTAGGGACGGGATTATTCCCCTTTATTCGGCGCTGGGGGGGCACATCTGGAGTATTGTGTCCAGTTCCGGGCCCCCCACTACAGGACGTGGACGCATTGGAGAGGGTCCAGCGGCGGGCGACCAAAACGGCGAGGGGGCTGGAGCACATGGCCGATGAGAGGCGGAGGGAGCTGGGTCTGTTTAGTCTGCAGAAGAGCGAGGGGGGATTTGAGAGCAGCCCTCAGCTCCCAGAAGGGGGTTCCGAAGAGGCTGGAGCCCGGCTGTGCTGTGGCGGGAGGGGGCAGAACGAGGAGCAATGGGCTGAAAACTGTTTCCCGAGGAGGGTGGGGAAGCGCTGGGACGGGCTCATCCCTGGAGGTTTTTAAGGCTTGACAAAGCCCTGCCTGGGCTGACTTAGTTGAGGTGGGTCCTTCTAGGAGCAGGGGGACCCTTGAGGGCTCTTCTGACCCTCATCTTGTGCGATTCTTCTGCGCCTTGGTTTCTGCATCTCTCGAGTGGGGTCAGCCAGCCTGCCTTTTCCCTGCCCCTCCCCGGGCCCCACTCACTGGGGCTCCCCACATCCGGGCTGCAGCTGGCTCAATGAAGGTCTTACAGCCCCCAGATCTCGGAGCACCCCATCGATTGCTCCCTGACCCGGCGGTTCCTACCCTCCTGCTCGAGAGCAGCCGCCCAAAGCTCCTCTTGCCACCTTGTCTGGGGAGAGCAGACTTCGAGGGTCAAGACCCCCCTGGGGAGTCGTGTGTGCGCCTGGACGGATGCATCCTGGCAAGGGGCCACACGGGCCTGGTGGCCATGGAGAGAGAGGACTTTCCGTGCCAGGCTAGGCCCCGCCCTCCCAGTAACAAGCCCATCCAACCGGCACCCACAGCACCTGGGGGGAGAGGGGCTGAAAAGGGGAACTCCCCGTCCCCTGCCCACACCCTCCGGGTAGAGCAGCCTCCCTGTGAGCCGTTACTGCCACCTGCTGGAGAACAGGTGGAAGGGACGCTCGTGGCCGGTTCTGGGTCCTCGGGGCTGCTGCGGACCAGGGCTTTGGCGGGCTGGGAGTCAGGAGGGTTTCACTGTGGCCACAGAAGCGGCCACGCACGGGAGCTGGGCAGAGCTCTACCTTTGTAACGGGATCCGACACCTTTTTGGGAGGCGGGTTGTCCATGGGGCTTTGGGGGGAAGGGCTTCACGCCTGGGCAAGCTACTGCATGACGGGGGTGGGAGATGTTAAGCAGTGGCTGCTTCCCACCCCAGAGGTGGCTGCATTTAAGTATGAGAGAAAGCGACTGTTTGGATCTGAAATGATCCGAGCATGGGACAGAATCCGGGCTCCTGGGTTCTAGCCCCTGCTTTGGGAGGGGAGCAGAGTCTAGTGGTTAGAGCAGACAACGGGAGTCAGGACTCCTGGGCTCTAGCCCCAGCTCTGGGAGTGTGCAATGTCACGCCACCGACGCGGCAAACTTGGACGAGGCCCTTCCCTGCCGGCGACCGGAGGACGACCCAGCTGGAGGGCTGATGCGAGACGTGCTAGGGACTGTCTGACGTGACACGGGGCAGTGCACATCGCTGGGCGCGCCTTCCCCGCCCTACCTGGGCTTCCGTTTCCGAGAGGGTCCCGTCTCCGTCCACGTCCAGCTCCACGTGGGTTTGGAGCTCGGCTACTGACACCCTGCAGCCAGGAGATTGGGGGAGGTGGGGGGGAGACCAGGGAGGACGCGTGAGCCGAGGCCGCAGTGCAGAGGCCGGTGCGGGACAGACGAGGGGCCTATCCCCCGGCCCCTCTGCCAGTCCCGTTTGTTTGTGGGGAGTCCTGTTCCCCCCTCCCCGGTAGCAGGCACCTCACTGACCGGCACAGAGGGGTCACCTCTGACCTGGGCCCTGGCCCGGCTGGCTCCCCCAAGCATTCCAAGCACTTGAAGCCGTAATTCAGCACTGGCCCGTGGCTCCATCTGCAACCAGCCGCTGGCTGACCTGAGCCTCCCTGGGCATCGTCCGAGCTCTCTCGGGGCAGGAGGGATCCTTCCCCGGGGCTGGTTACGCCAGTACCACAGGGTCCCTGTGCTGGCCCAGAGGGAGATTAGCAGGAGAATGGTG